ATAAATAAATTATAGGAGTCAATACATCTCAACAAAATATGTCTGAATCTTAAAAAAATTCTCAGTACTTCAATGTTTCCTTTATTTCCTTCCCCTGGTTGTCACATTTGAGATGATATTGGGATTTCGGTTCGTTCCTACTCGGTATCAACACGCACAAGCCGATCACTCGACTATTGTTGACACACACGTACACTCAAGAGAAGACAGAGAAAGCTGACTCATTGGTATAGGTATAAAACTTGGGCACTGTGCTGGTAGAGCGTAACTCCATTATGGATAAGATTTTATTTTGATAAGTCACACAGTGTTGTACAGTTATATTAACTGATGACGTTTCGAGCACAAACTATTGCTCATAATCATATCAAGTTACTCACACAACTTTTTTTCTTCATTTATATACATGCGTGGAATCGATTAGATATTGGAAAAAAGATTAGTAAAGGATAATGAACATTCGGAAATAATAATATGAGTGTTACTGATCAATTACAATCAGATGGGAAATAAGACGAGTGTTTTTTATAGTCATAATAAGTAACTTGTTAGAATGTTGTGATGTGCTTGAATTGAAATAGAATTTTAATTTTATTTATTTTTTCTTATTTTTATTTAGAGCTTGATTCCACACCGTATTTTCAGTGTGTGGAATTTTCAGCATGGATACCGGTAGCCCAAATTCAGGCCGACCATAGATATCGGGTGTGCGCCGGCAGGGGATCGAACCCCGGACCATGTGCATGGTCGGCGAGAGTCCTAACCACTATGCCTCCTCTGATTTAACTTGTGGTAATAATATCTTCCATATTTCTGGTATTTGCATTGAGTCATTCCTATTGCATGTGTTGGGTGTAGACTCGATGAACAAGAATTCAGTAATTAACCTCTCTCTCCACCTACATAGATTACTTTTTAGAATTTTAACCCTCTCACACCTCCCTATTTCCGGACTGTGTGTTAATGCATGCAGTGCAATTGCCGAGGTTTTTTTCTAAATTACTTATCTTCTCGGGGTCAACTGTTCTAACCTTAGTCATATTCTTATGTTCGGATAATTTCACTACTCTTGATCAAATAGCTTGACCTATGTAGTTGGCATCACAGCCATTGTCAGATATTTTGTAAATTATATTATTTTGTTTAATTGGGTTCACCAGGTCCTTTAGTTTACAGAGATTGTCTCTGAGCGAGTTTAGAGATTTGAACGCCACTCTGATTCCTGCTTTGTTGAGAATCCTACGTAGGGTCTCAGATGTACCCTCCTTATATGGTAAAGCTGTAGATGCCGTATATTTTTTCTTATTTATGTTATCTCTGTTAGTAGCACCATTACTTTTATTTTGCTTTTGACCTTTTTTGATATTCCTAATGAATTTTATAGGATAGCTATTTGACACCAACGCTTCTTCTATCTGTTTTATTTCATCATTTAGGGCTTTCCTTGTTCTACTTAATGATACTGCTCGGTTTGTCAGACACTTAACTAAGCCTGCCTTAACAGTTAACGGATGAGATGAATTAAAGTCTAAATATCTATTGCTTCATGGGAAAAGGCAATAAGACTATACTAGGTTGGCAACATACAGGAAACACTGACTCATGATGAGTCTCCTCCTGTTTCTAAAAGTTGCTTATTCTCTGGTAAGAATCTTGAAAAGCATATTATTATTGCCGTTAATATTTTCTGAGGTTCCTCATGGAGCATAGGGCTTCAACAGAATATTTTATTTCCATCCTCTTTTTCTGTAATCCTCTTTAGCTGATTCTATGATTGCCTACAAGCTTTCATCTCTACTTCACACTATCTCGCCTCGAACAGATGCCCAACTCGTCATTTCCCACTCAGGTACCAATAAAAGGCTTGGTACACGACATCACTCAACGGTCTCCCTGGGGTGTATCCAATCCACCTTCGGCACTGTCGCCAGAGTTCCTTGTTACTAATCCTTTCCGGCTGACCATCAGATTTTTAGTATGCAGCCGGCGAAAGTAGATGTTGATAAAAATCTACAGGCTGTTCGACTTGCTTTCGGTGAACCAAATCAAAGAACTCACTGAATTCATATCAGTATTGAAAATCTGACACGTATACTCTCTGCTCAGTTCAGTAGGTTTTCAGACTCATTTCAGATTGAGGAATACAACGTCAAGTTTATCAGTTCAAAATCTCTACATCCTTTCATTTTATTCATTTGAGTAAACTTGTTTAAAGAGATAAAATTCTTTGCTTTGCAAATACTTGATTGATATCAAGTTGGATCACGAACTGACACATCAGCTAGAGAAACAAACATTGAAAACCAGGGGGTACTAGTACCTCTTTCGTTTTCCAATTGCCATGGAACAAATCTAACAATGGAGGATTCACATTTTAACTATTGAATCAAAATTACGAGAATTCCAAAAGCAGTCAAATTAAGAAAAAATAATATATCTGCTCGAGATTATGTTACTGAAATTTTGAAGACTTCTCATTCGTCACGGTGTGTTTCACTTACTGTCTTGATTGCTAATCATGGCATCAAGTCAATCAAATATTGTGATTTAAACAAGTTCGGTTTCCAAAGGAAACGGTAGTGCAATCTCATCTCGATCTGTGAAAATTGCAAATTCCTTCTCTGATTCACGGTGTTACCAGTTCGCCTAAGTAGCTGGCGAGAAATCCAGCAGTTTGAATTAATTCGACTCCCCAAGCTGAATCGAACCGCGCACAAGGTTGATGAGTTTGTTCGCTTCAAACAACCGAAACCACCGTCGGCGTTTAGAAAACTTTGATTTGATTGGCTAGCAAATTATTCAATAAATATACTCATATATTGTATTTTTGTTCCTGTAGTTATGAATGGTACATGTGAGCTCCAACCGTTGCTTGAAGTTCAAGTAGCGATGGTGATGTAAGCATGGTGTTCAACTACTCATCTAAATCAATCAGTAGTACATAGTTTAGTTATCATTAGTTTATTTCGGTAATTCCTTTAACCATAAACTGTCGTATACAGTTGACAAGATCCACCGAAATACAATGACGTCGCTTAATCCTGTTCAATTAGTTCTCTTGCTTGATGATTGCCAATAATCATAACAGTGTACTCCAAATGACTTCCTAACTGCCTTGTTGTTTAAAGAAGAACGTCTGAAAGCCTTCACCCTATCCAAAACCACTGTGACCATGAGTAGGTGAATGCTTTGCCCAGCTTTTGTCTAGATTGGTGGGTCGATGCGTCATTCTAGATCTAGCTAAATGTCTATATTCCGATAGAGTCTAATTTAACCAAATGTGCTAGTTTAAAGCATGCAATTGACCTCACACTCATTGTATGCTTTCTGGTCAATTGTACTTTTTTTGTCTTAATTCGATAGGTCTGCTACCTAAAAGGACAAATTTATCTCTGAATTAGTTGTGTCACCCTAACTCTAGTCAGCCCCTTCTACTTAGCTCGCTAGCTAGCTGACATAGCTAGCTAACATAGATTGACACTATATATATTTTTTAGTGTCCTAAAGTTAGAACATTGTATGCATGACTCATAGGTTAAGCATATTTCTAACAGCAGTTAATGTATATTTTGTTTTTATATTTCGTCATGCTCTACTCTCAGTCATAGTAAGATAGAAAGTGGCTGAAAAAGTCAAATCAACATTTAGGTGTGTGATATAGGGCCTCGACTTCAATCAATCTACATTCAGAAAATGCGTAGGCGTATAAGCTAAGATGACTATCAACAGACAGTATAAGCAGACTTAAGAATGAGAAATATTCTCACGTCACATGAATTAATAAAAGGCCGTAATGAAGAGAAGGCATTCTGGTCAGTTATTTCACCCCCACCCCCACCCCCAACTCCACACCAGGTTCTTACAGTTAGAAAATATGTATTATTTACACCATTGAAATAACAGCCAGTGATTTGATGGACACATTTTTTGGACACAGAAAGGCAGATTACACCTGGGATGAGAAGTTGTATTGTATGACAAATATCTTGAGCGCATTGACACTACAAAATATTGTAAAGTGCCAGACTAGTTAGTCATAATAAATTCAAACAATGTGGGGAAGATGAATTGCCAGTCTAGTTTAAGGTGGTAAAATGTGTCAGGTGATGAATACTATCTGATACACAATGGAAGAATGCAGCGTTAGTCAGAAGACAGTAAGATTGCTTTGAGTAGTCGTCCATCATGAAATAGTTAAAATGTGGAGAACAAAGCAAATATAGTCATAGACGGCGAAAAGAGATAATTAAATAATTCCCATTGTAGCATTAGGAACACAATATTCAGCGAAGAGACTCTTTTCAACGAATTTATTATCCAGCTGTACAGTCGTATATTATTATTATTATTGTTCCCTTGGGTTCCTAGTGGAACATAGGGCTTCAACTGCACGTCTCCACTTGCTTCTGTCTTCTGCTGTTCTTTTCACTTGCGTCCATGTTATTCCATACTGTTTCATCTTCTCCTCACACGATCTCCTCCATGTCACCCTTGGACGTCCCACTCGCCGCTTCCCTTTCGGGTTCCACTCGAGGGCTTGACGCGCGATGTCACTCAACGGCCTCCTCAGCGAGTGTCCAATCCATCTCCACTTTCTCCTGCATATTTGTTGAGCGATTGGTTCCTGTTTCGTTTGTTCCCATAGCTTCTTGTTTGTGATTCTTTCTGGCCATCTAATCTTCAGTATGGAGCGAAGACAGTTGTTGATAAAGGTCTGCAACCTGTTGAAAATATTCTTGGTGACCCGCCAAGTTTCTGATCCGTAAAGAAAAATTGACTTGACGTTTGTATTGAAAATCCGAATTTTGTTGTTGATGCTGAGTGACGAAGATTTCCAGATTGGTTTCAGGTTGATGAATGTGTTTCTCGCCTTCCCGATTCTCGATTTGACATCCTCGTCCGTTCCTCCTGTGGTTGAGACAATGCTCCCCAGATAAGTGAAAGAAGTAACCTCTTTCAAATCCCTCCCGTTGATGGTGATTGGCACTGGATGTTGCTGCTGTTGTTGGTTGGTTATTTTCATAACCTCCGTCTTGTCTATGTTGACCTGGAGTCCTGTCTTTGCTGCTTCTTCGACCAGTTTGTCGGTTTTTGCTTGTAAGTCTTCGATTTTGTGTGACATCAAACATAAATCATCCACGCGCGAAATCCAGGTCTTCTAGGTTCTTCACGTCGGTCCAGGATATCCCTGTCTTCTGGTTTCCCACTGTCTGACGCATAATCCAGTCCACCACAATTAGGAATATCATTGGTGATAATAAGCACCCTTGTCTGACTCCTGTGTTTACTCCAAACGCTTCGCTGAGTTTTCCGTTGTGGATCACTTGACATGTGCCGTTGTCGTACAGTTGTTGAATAAGGTTGATGAATATTTGCGGTACGCCGTAGTACTCGAGTAGTTTCCAAATTACTTCGCGGTCAACGCTGTCGAAGGCCTTCTCAAAGTCTATGAAGTTGAGGTAGAGATTTGATTGCCATTCCATGCTTTGTTCGATGATAATGCGTAGAGTTGCAATTTGGTCAGAACATGATTTGCCTTTCCTGAATCCAGCTTGTTCTGGTCGGAGTTCTGTATCCAGTGCGTCCTTGATTCTCTCCAGGATGATGCGACTCAGGATTTTACTTGGCGTCGACAGGAGCATGATTCCTCGCCAGTTCTTGCAGAGTCCCAGGTCGCCCTTCTTTGGTAGTTTCACCAGGTAACCTTTCCTCCAGTCAGTAGGCACCTTTCCCTCCTTCCAGATCTTTTGCAATAATGGAGTCAGCATATCTGCTGTCGTCTCTGGGTCCGCTTTCAGTGCTTCCGGGGGTATTCCATCTGGTCCAGCTGCTTTTCCAGCTTTCAGAAGCTTGATTGCATTCATGACTTCAGTTTTCGTTGGAGGATTGGTGTCAACTTGCAGTTGTGTACGTGCTGTTGTTGGTATTACTGGACGGGTTGTAGGTGGTGGTCGGTTCAAGAGTCCTTTGAAGTGGTCCGCCCATTGTTTAATCTGTCTTTCTTCTTTGGTAATTGGGTTCCCTTGGCTGTCTTTTATAGGTTTCACTTGTGTTGATCTCTTCCCGGATAGAGACTTGGTTATCTGATATAGTGTCCTCAGGTCCCTTTTGCCTGCTGCCTTCTCAGCTTCAGTAGCCAGGTTGTCGTAGAATTGTCTTTTGTCCTTCCTGGCACTCTTCTTCACTTCTTTGTCCAGTGCTGTGTAAGTTGAGTTCAGCGTCTCTTTCTCTTGTCCATCTTTGCATTGAATCATTTTTTCTTTCACCTTTCTCCTCTCCTCTATTAGTTTCCAAGTGTCTGTTGAGAGCCATTCCTTGTCTTGTTTCTTCTTTCTTCCTAAAACCGTTGAGCACGTTTCGTTGAAAATTACCTTCAGAGAGTTCCAATGGTCTTCCACGGATGATTCCTCAGTGGTGCCTCGTAGTGTTTCCTGCTTTGCTCTGACAGTTGCAGTGAAAATGTCCTGTGTGATTGTGTCCTTCAGTTTGTGAGTGTTGAACTTGCATTGTGGCCTATCCCCAGGTATCCTCGAGGCTTTCAGCTTCACCTTGAAAGTCCCTTGTACCAGATAGTGGTCTGAACCCACATCTGCTCCTCTCCTCGATCTTGTGTCCAGTAGGCTCCGTCTCCACTTCCTTGAGATTGAAATGAAGTCTATCTGGTTTTTGGTGTGTCCATCTGGTGAAATCCATGTTGCCTTGTGTATATCCCTGTGTTTGAACACACTGCCACCAATCACCAAATCATTGAAGGCGCAGAAGTCTGAGAAGAGTTCACCATTTTCGTTCATTTCACCGAGGGCCTCACGACCCATGGTGAGTTCTCTTCCTGTATTGTCTCCTCCCAGTTTCGCATTCATGTCGCCCATCAGGATTTTGATATCGCTCTTTGGGACGTTGTCTATTACTGTTTGTAGTTGACTGTAGAAATCCTCCTTCTTCTCATGTTCTGAGGCGTTTGTAGGCGCGTAGCACTGAATGATTGTAACCTTTTTTCCTTTTGAGTTGAACCTGGCTGTCATTATCCTGGAGGAGATTGGTTCCCACTGCATGAGAGCTTTAGCCGCTGTTGGTGACATCATGATGGCTACTCCCTCGGTGTGCTCGTGATTGTCCTCTGGGTGACCGGAGTAGATTATTGTCTCTCCAGTTGATAGTTGGCTCCTTCCACATCCGTTCCATCTGCTCTCGCAGATTCCCAACACTTCTATTCTATATCTCCTCATTTCTGCGGCTACCTGAGCAGCCTTCCCAGCTTCGTACATTGTACGAACATTCCACGTCCCCATCCTTATTTTCGCTTTCATCGAAAGAAGGCACATCGGCTGACTGGCTTCCCGAAGGCTTTCACCAGCCTGCGTCATTTCACTTCCCCGATTCCAGCGAAAAATAAGGTCACTATTTGTAATTTTAGAATTTTGAATATATTTGTGCGTTGAAGTTTTAGTAGCAATTTGGTTAAGTTTTGGGGGTGGAGTTGCTAGCACCACGCCCCAACCCTCCCTCTTTATCCGGGCTTGGGACCGGCTAGAATACTAGTGACCTAGTAATCTAGGCGAGGTTACAGTCGTATATATATACATATATTCAAGTATTGGTTTGGTAGGGATTTTGTTTCATTGCATGGAGAATTTCCTCATGAGCTGACATCAGTTAGAGAACTACTGGAAAACCTGGGAGTACTGGACAGCTGTTTCGTCCTAGTTTGGGACTCTTCAGCAGTACGCGCCCACCGGGATTCGAAACCAGGACCTTATGGTTACAAAGCGAGCTTGTAGACCACTGAGCCACTGTGACCCGATCCAATGGTCCTTGAATTCTAAATTCTGCAATTAAAGAAAAGCCCTACCAAACCAATTCTTGAAAATTAATCTCATGCTCGGTAGTGACTGACCATATTCAGGCAGTTAACCTGGGGTTCTAGTGGAAAGCCGTGACCAGTAGTGTACAGCAGGTTGAAGATGAGGCAGTCACTCACCTAGGAAGACATTGCGAAATGGTCGCCCTATGTAGTGAATTGGCAGAAGTTAGAATTCAAGGACCATTGGATCGGGTCCCAGTGGCTCAATGGTCTACGAGCTCGCCTTGTTAACAGAAGGTCCTGGGTTCGAATCCCGGTGAGCGCGTACTGCTGAAAAGTCCCAAACTAGGACGAAACAGCTGTCCAGTACTCCCAGTGGTTCTCTAACTGATGTTAGCTCATGATGAAATCCTCCATGCAATATACATATTTATATATATATTTGGTTTTGAAGAAATTATTATTTCCGGTGAGGAAATTACATCAAAGGTGACAATAATAATATTAATAGTATGAAATGCACTTAAAATATTTGTGATCATAATCATAGTTAAATGTCAAGTAGCAAAACAATCACTGTCATATATAGAATAATACATAAGGTGTAAAGATGTTGGAAACGGGTGCATAATTATAGGATTAGTAAGCGAACATAAAATGTTACATAACATGGTGTGAAATTTGATAAGGTAGAATTCAATAGTGTAAAGATGAAAATAAAAATTAATAATTTTGGATTCAGCATGACGAGTGGGACAAGTGGAAACAATTCAGAGTGAGAATAATAATAATAACAGTAATAATAATAATAATAATTGTAGTAATAAGTTAAAGGTACATAGAATAACTGAATAAACAAAATAAATAAATCTATGTATGTATGCGCTTACATAGACTCACACAATAGAGTCAGACAGAAAGAAGCACAGTTCCAAAATGTTGGCTTATAGTTAGGTCGAGTGAAAAATTCATCACAAACTGAAGACACTGTTCGAAATGTATACATCATGTTTTTCAGATTCATCACTCTGTCTTTTAGTTACGCTATGCAAATCTCTGTGTTGGATTGGTTAGTTTGCAATGTGGTGGGTGGGCAAGTGTGTATAAACCTGAACTTCTAGTGACCAGGATGTGCAGGCAACCGATGTATGGATGCAACTCGATCAATTTCGTATAAGAGAAGAAAATGTTAAAAAATGCGTACCTTTGGTTAACCTCTCGTCAGGCTTTACTTTACTATCACATATACAATTTCCTACAGCCGGTCCCCTTTATTAGTTTGAATAATTTAAGAACGAACATATTTACAGGATAATATGAGCTCGTTTTATTTCGTGGACTCTTCCGTCAACTGCTTGCATCCTACATGAACCAGTAAGTAATATATATGCTACAAAATTGTATCTGCACATACTTTTTACAACGATTTCCAGTGATAAATAGATAGAAAGGAAGTATAAGCAACATCATTTCAAAGATGATGTAAGGAGACAATTATTTAGTGTTAAATGTGTAACTATATATATACATGGTAATTTGACATAGGGGTGGAGTTGTGATTCATCTTGGATACAAGGATGAATTAGAGACAAAATACAAAATGGAACAGAACAACAGAGTGAATTTATACATATTATGGTGGAGAATTCAGGAGAGTGGTAGAGGTGGATAGAGTACCTAGACTGTATGGACACTTACATGAACTTTCCCTTATTATTACTAGTATTATTACTATTATTGCTATTAGCATTACAGTTATTTCTCTCATTCTTCTTCTTCGTATCACTATTATCATTATTATTGTTGTTGTTGTTGTTATCAATGTGATCACATTGATCACCAGCTTTTGCATTGATTGTCATATGCCTGAGCTGTAATTCTATTTCCACAGTGACTTCTATTGTCTGTGATTAACAACTCTCCTTACTATGCTATGGTAAAGCCCAATGAGAAGTTACCCGAAGGTAAGCATTTGTTTGTATCCTCTTCTCGAACTACTCACGATGTGAATATTTTAGACTTTGGAACGACTTGAAGTATGTTGGACTAATTGTCAAGCTGGTTTTATTGTTGACTAATAACTGAAAGGTTTAGGAGTGCCGTGTTTTTGCAGCACTTTTACAGTTAGTTAACAGTTTAATACCTAGCACTTTTCTCTTCACATGAATTGAGTACCAAATGAGTTATCATAGAGATTTTTATTTAATCATCCTAGCTTAAAGTCTTTTACAATTGCTCCTAGTTCTACCCGATAAAATTCAAGGGGAGAGTTGTGTATACAGAGAATACTCAGAGGCCGACAAGCCCATATCAGCCAGTTTCTTGCATGAGTTCAAGAGTCTGTCGACAACAGTATTAACGAGTTGATTTAGCGGTACCTCATTCACTCAACCGTGAACTTTTAGTGCCCGTCCCAGTGCGATGGTCTTTCTTAAGTAGCTCAGGAAAGATTAAGTGGAGCAGTAAAGAAGGATAAGGAGAATACAAAAAATTAATAAACTTAGAAATTCGAGAGTGAGTGATGCCGTTTTGTCTTAATTTCCCTACTTGGACAGTCAGACGAAACATCTTTTTAGTGATCGACATTATGTGGGAAAACCAGGAAAGATCAGAGGAAATAAAATGTCCAAGGTATTTAACATTTGATTTAGCTTCAACCTCCATGCCATCTACGATGTTGGAACCATGAGAACTAATCATTTCATGTGAGTCGAGCTAGCATGTGAAAGGTAAATTAAAAACCTGACATCTCGAGGGATTTAGACTTAGACCATTTGAAAAGAACCATTGACGAATTTCTAATAAAAGTCTCTTCAGCTTTAAACAATCGAACTGAGATGTAGCTGGCTTGGAAATAGTTAGATCACCGGCATACCTGATAAAACTGGCTTCACCATAACGAGTCAAGTCATCTAAGGAGAAAGAGCATGTCCCTGAAAGACAGCGACTACTGTAAACAAAGTAGTGGAAGAATTTCCTCTACATTTAGTGTACTGCGTCCTATTAGGATAGTAAGAATGGGGTCATTTATCAATCCAGCAACGTGTTTGTGTCAGAACAAGTTTCTTTAATAAAAGAAGCCTAGATACAAAGTGAAAGATAAATGTGTTATCCGGAAGACACACTGAACGTATTTAGCATCTCTGTCCAAACTGGAGGTAATATTATGATAAAAGAAAACAGTACCAACTCAAGTTCATCTACCATATTTATAGGCAAATCGTTAAAATCCTTTAATGAAGGTTCAACGTATAATCAAGTACAATTTTTCCGTTATTTTCAAAAATAGTGAGGCAACAGCAGCAGTTTTAAATTTAACATATGGTCCACTTCATGATTTAGGCACCAGAACAATCTTAATGTCTTTCTAAGAAGCGGGTACAACGTTTGTGGGATATGGTGCATTGAAAATATCGATAAGTGGATGACATTAAACATCCGAATATTTTCTGAGGATAACAGCGGCCACCTCACCTGGATCTCAAGGTTAGGAAGGCTTCAATCACCATATGCACTAAAAAACATCTGCACTCACCAGAAAGCGATCATTCTTTTCATTTGTAGCATCACAAATCGTCACATCCACTGAATGAAGTTAGAAGGACTTACTAAATGTGCCAGAACCAAGTGAAGCAGGATTATTATTTATTTGCTTTCCACCAGTAATTTCCTAGAATATTTTCCACATATTCGAAGAGATTCTCAATGGTAAGGATTTTCAGTCTGTGTATTTACAACTCGATCAAATTATTCAGTCATTTTACACCAGGGTTGTCTTTCATTTTACATAACTTTTTCTTTTCTCGATAAGGCTTCCTAAGTTGAAAAAAAGGAAGAACTTTCAAATTTCATGAAGAGTGTTCCTTTTTGGCAGCAAACATCCAGACAGAATTTAAGATTACCTGTTATATTTGTGATATTACCATCTAGTTCTTGTTCAGTAAATGTATCCTAGTCTGTATCTTTTAAAATGCTTCTGAGAGTCTTTGTATTGTCCTAAGAGGAACATCTATGTTAAGTACCAGTGAATCAATAATATCGATAGATTACAATTCAGAATCAAATGAGGTGATAATATGCATCTAAATGTAGGGTAAATAGAAGAAAATGATATGGAATTTATGAATCTATAGGTTCCACAACGAGCCACCCAAAGTAGAAGTAGTGATTTCACCTGTTTTGTTTAGATGCATAGCTCCTGTTGTTTTGGGCAAA